GGTTCGACGCGATGCTTAAATTCGTTGAACCTTTACAACTCTAGCAAGATCTTCACAATTTATTTAAATTTCGAGACCTTTTATGTAAATGGTTTAATTTCGTTTTCGCAATTTGGTCGTGTTGTAAAACGACTTAGGTGGACGCAACTTATCCGAAATCCTCTGCTATACTAGCTATAATAATTCCCGGATGTCTCACCGACATCGTCAGTAAGTCTCGCCATTCTCAACACTAAGGTACAGTTCGTCAATGAGACAAGTGAAATCAATATCTTTACCAGGTTTCTGCCGAAACGGTGTTGCTAAAACTCTCCTTTCTGTCCGGACACTTTTATCTCACTCCCGCCCCATCACAGCTTCTGACATGTTTGCATTTCATTCATCAAACAATGACCGATGGTCCTTGAAAACAATGAGTTCACATCAATTTAGAGAGGGATTGAGTGAATAATTATTTTCATTAATAAACATCACTTGAATAAATTTAATAAAAAGGCTACCCTAAACATAAGTTAGGAATCTTATTGTATAACTTTAGGGGCAAATCTAGTGCGAAAGAAGTTTTTTTTAGAAGTTGTTTGATCTCGTTATTAACTTTATATACTTTTATCAAAGATATGAAGACCAAGATGGTGTCGTCGCAGTCTCCTTTCGTTGTATAGAAGTTGTTTGAACTTGTTTTCTAAAGATGGTGTGGCCTTTTGTGTGGTCGCAGTCTCCTTTCGTTGAATAGAAGTTGTTTGACCTTGTTTTCGACAAGACCAAGATGGTGTGGCCTTTTGTGTGGTCACAGTCTCCTTTCGTTGAATAGAAGTTGTTTGACCTTGTTTTCGCAACTTGGTGTGCCCTTTTGTGTGGTCGCAATCTCCTTTCGTTGTATAGAATGGTGTAACCTTTTGTGTGGTCGCAGTCTCCTTTCGTTGTATAGAGGTTGTTTGACCTTGTTTTCGCAACATGGCCATATTGGTAGGAAGACTTATAGGAACGCACCTTGTCCTGAGTCCATTTTATGCATAATTATTTCCAAAGTAGGACGTGGACGCGGTACATTCCCAAACGTTTCGCCGGCATCGTAGTCGGCATCGTCAGTGAGTCTCGCCATTCGCAGCATCATATTACACGTCAAATGGACAAGTGAAGCCCATCCTTTGACCAAACGTGTGCTAAACAGTTATGGTATCTCACCTTCTTTAATTTGGCTACAGCTTCAGAGCCGATATACAGGTATTTAAAAGAGTAAATGGTCATATAAAAAAAAGTTGGATATTAGGACAGAAGGTGAAGTATAAGCCAATAATCGAAGATATGAAGACCAAGATGTCAGAGGAACTTAGTTAAACGCACCTTGTCTAAATTCCTTTGTTATCGTAATTATTATAATTCCCAACAATAAACCATGGATTTGGTACATTCTCAGACGTTTTGCCGGCATCGGGGTCTGCATCAACAGTGAGTCTTGTCATTCTCAGCACCAAGAAAAGTCCGAGAATGTATCAAGCCTACGGTCTGATTCTGGGAATTAGATAACTACTATCAGAGGATTTCAGACAAGATGCGTTCAACTAAGTCGCCCTGACAAGGCCAAGTTGCGAAAACGAGGTCAACCCACTTTTATAGACCAATAAGTTCAATTTTTCTATCATTTTGAGAGGTAATATTTTTATTATATGCTGTTAACTTCTTGCAATGTAATCATGTCTTCCATTTCAATCTTTAAAAGAAAAGGGAGTTTAGTAAAAGAACCTCCAATCTTGCCCGGAGGCCTTTTTTTGCTGTAACTTACATGGATATGGTACGTGATTGGATTCATGCCAAGTTAATACATTTCGACAGCCATTACGCGACACAATATTAAGTGGATTGGAAGCGGTGAAATAAAGAGCCACAAATCTTCTCTAAACTCTTAGGGATATGCACATATCCGACAACTTAACAAAGATCCTGAGTCTGAACGGAGCCAAATGAGTATCAATGCCTATTGTTGAAAAAGTGAGAAATTTCCCTTTGTAAAAGCAAATTTGACATAAAAATAGCGTTTATCTAAATTAATTACCCACTTTTAGGGCTCTGAACCATATCTTTTCAGGATAGTCCCGATACCCCTTAAGACTCATGTCTAGAGCTTCGGCAGTTTGTGTAGACTGGCGCGGTTTGTAGGCAAATGGAGCAAACAAGTCCCAGATGGTGCCATCTTGATCCTTAAAACGCTGGAAGTCGAAGAAAATTCCGCTTGAAACTATCTGGAAACTGCTCAGAACATTTGCGAAAACTTCACCAAACAGCTCAAACCGGTTTAGAGGGAAGCCCGACTGTAGAACACAATAAAACGTAACTGGTTAGAAGTTAAAAAGCATACTATATTATTATTATTATATTATATATTATAATATATATATATATAATTTTTGCATTGAAAAGAGCGTCTGCATGAATAACGAAATGCAACAATTAAGTATGCCAATAGGAGCCTCTAAGGTACCTAATATGATGAGCTGAAAGATTTGAGTTTCAATTGTTAACTTGGCCATAGTGAAAACTGGTTTATATTCAGCTTCCCCTGGTGTTAACTACGTCTTTGAAGGCCGAATGGCCCGTGAGCTGTACACAGTTCGCATCCAAACAAACATCTATGGCATGCATCGCTGTTTTTAGGGAAGTTTTGCTTCCTTAGCTTTTTCTGCGCAAGTCTAATTTTATGCCTTTTGTAGGTCAATTTTTCTGCTGATAAAATGCCCATAAATATGCACACATACATGCATACATACATATATATATGTATATATATATACGCACTTCCAAACACATATATACACACACACAATGATGTCTCGACTTGCCTATCGGGATCTGAAAAGGAAATATAAAGGCAAAACATTTTTGGTCTATGTAGGGCTATTTCTTTTCAAATTTAGTCTTTAGCTTCCTTTCTGTGTCCTTAGTGCATGTAGCATAAACTAAAGTTTAATAAACACCGAAGTAAAATTTGTGCAAACATAAACTTCCACCAATGTATTTTTATTATTTTTGGTGAGTATTTCAATTTTGAATATCGCCCTACTGGCAACATTTCTTGCAAATTCGCATATCGATTCTGTTTCTACACAAAAATCAACTTAATCTATACTGTTAGCAACAATAAAACTCTCGTGAAAGAGTTCAAAGAGAGGGAGTCAAAATAAAAATCTTCATTTACTCATTTTATTTCTCAGATATTTAATTAAGTCATCACCCCTTATTTCAGAAAGTACAAATCTTCCTAAAAGAAATAAAATTCTAGAGGAAAAATGTGATATTAATTTTCTAACCTTATCGGAACCAGTAAGCCCTTATTGAGATTACAATTAATTATTAGCTTGAAAAGAAATAACCGAAAGTCTAGACCAAGTAAACATATTAGGAGTTTACAAGACATACTTTTGGCTAAGATGTTTCCATTAAGCTGGCAGCATTAAGCTATTCAAGGGACTGAGGAAATGCATGCCCTTGATGACATTAATGTAAACCAGCTTTAAGATAATTCCGATAGAGGCTAATGCAGTGAGTTGCAGTTCGCTTCCAGTAACCGTTGGCAAAAGAAAAAAACAACTCATTTACCTTTAGACTTCCGTAACGTTCGCCAATTATGTCATTCTGGTAGTAAGCGCTGAGAAAGTGGGCCAAGCGTAGCGCAATCCGAGCCTCCATTTCGAATTGGACCTCGGCACCAAAGCTTACTTCGCCAGGAAGAACGAGGTCAGATACCAATTTGCTGGCACAGTTTTCACTTGTGACGGAGACCGTGTGGTCGACAAGGCGATGCACCTGTGTTTAAGCGTGCATACATTTACGTGTGTATCAGAGAGTTTGAGTTGAGTAGATATTGTAAAAACGAAATTCCCCAATGTGGATGAAAGGTTGGAAAATGGTTTAAAAAAGAAGAAGACAATAGTCAAAAGCATGTGAAGAAAAGTGCACAAGACCAAAAGTATGCGAATACCCCGTATTCACGTGAAGCCTAACAACTGTGGCTAGAGTATACGCGACATTTTCAGATCAACACGCCTACACCTTTGCATTGCTTGTCTTATTTAGTCAAAATCCATACTACGGGTTTAGTTTACGGGACACATCTTCTTGGCAGACTTGTTTTTACTGGAAGATAAGTTAAATTAGCTAAATTCTTTACTTACTTAAATCAGAGCAAAGCCAAAAGACTTGCCGATGGTGAACCCGAGTGTTCCCATCTTCAATGTTGGCTTTCTATGTTGGAATATGAAAAGAAGATAGGTTTCGAAGAACCCCTTAGGTCTAACCAAAATTAAAAGTGTTTAACTCATATCCACTTCGGATGAAAGTGTGATGAAGGGGATAGAAGACCAATTCCCCGAGGATTCCTCACTTAGCTTTATGGGATAAATCTGGTTGATACTGCCCAAAGGGAATCTCTTCGATTGCAGTAAAAACCTGTCTCTCATATGATAAACATCATTAGAGCAGGGTATAATGTTTACGAGTTATAATTGGTGTTTCACCATATGACTTACATGCTTACAGATGCATATACAAACGCAAACAAAGAGGAGCATACAAGCTCTTAGATTAACATGAAAAAGAACTAGTTAAATCATTATGAATCTGTCTATTTATATAGATGTATTTTCGTTTTTAGTTGTGAGTATAGCCATCTAGTCACCTTGACTTATGGGTAATTTGAATCGTTAGCCAGAATGAGTTCCACCTTAAACGATGTCTATCGTATGATGGGCGAAAGCTTGGCCCGTTTTAAGCGGAACCGAGAGAGAATATCTATTTAGGTGTGTTAACTTTAAGGAGAATAGTAAAATCAAGATACTGCAGAACATGAATTAATAATAGTCATCTGATGAAATCATTCCATGAATTTTCATACGAAATTAAAGTCATTACAACAAGCAAAGATCATTAAATTATGATCGTCTTAGGAAGGATATTTTGGCTCTGCTCTCGTGTCGGGAAAATCACTTTAGTTTCGTACATCTGTAGATGCATATATGCATACGCGCTCACATGATCATATACTCTTAAATGCATATCACTATAGACAGATATTGTAAAGAAATAATCAAGTACTTCTATAAATGCCATTATTTGAGTTGTTTTACAAATATATATTGCAAGAAAGATTAGCTGGTTAGTTTTTCCAACTAAATTAAAGCCCGAAATCGACATAAAAATATATCCTTGCTCTGATATCTGTCATATAAAAGATGAAAGTTTTGCACGTTTTAAACATAACCGAAGAAAGGTTTTTCGAGGAATTTGTTAGCCCAAAGTCTCAGTAAAATCAAGGTACAGTAGACCAAGAATAGCCTGCAGTCGTACACTGATGAGATCGATAAAAAATCTCTTCATTGCAAACTTTCACTCGAAATACAGTTTCTTGCCTAATAACTTGGTAAGCCTAAGTCGATTAAAATGAATTAAGAAATGCTAGTTCAATTTTCCTACAGCGAGAAGAGTAGGCATCACGTTTCCACTAAATTTCCGTTAGCCTTGCTGCCCAAAAGATATTCGAATATAGTCTAAACGTATAGAAATAATGTAGTCAATTTTAATAGAAAAACAAAAGTTTTTATTATCGATAATTCTACCATAAATGTAATATGAACGAGTCCTGGACTTCCGTGAAATTCATATCCTCTATCTGACGCAAAGGAACTCGAGACGTTGTGTTAAGGTGTAGAGGATATAGACTGCACTACCAAGCTTCGAGACCTGATTAAGGTGCTAAAGAAACCTAGGCGAGGCCAGAACTATAATCCAACCTTGAGGAAAATACCCCATAGAAAGCAAGGCCAAGAGAAATCCAACGGAAGCTTGAGGCCTACTCAAATTGTTATGGAAAAAGAATTCCACTATCCGTCTATCAGCACCTTATGTGACCTAGAGAGAGTATAACTCATACTGTTAAAGTGTCTTCTTGGCGTTTATTTTCACAGTCCAATTCAAATGGACTTGGCTCATTGTGTTTTTGGGCATGAAAGCCTTACGGCAATCCGACATCTTATGTCGTCGTGTGCAATTGAAATGTCTCCACGACCTGCATATGCTTTAAAAAATAATTTAAACTTGTTTACTAGGCCTTAACTAAGAACTAGAATCAGACTGATCTAAGGCCAAATAGTGGAATTTTTCCCACAATGCCACAAATGGGCCCCACGAATTCATAGGACTGCAATTAGCATAGTCTCGTATAAAGTGGTTATCATCCACGATAAACTGAAGTTTTGGCCTCATATAAGCCTCACCAGGACTCCCAACAGGAATTCACTCCTTTTCTCGAAAACACATCTGGCGATCAGAAAGATTGTTAGCATAGAACTGTAAATAAATGTGCTTTTGCTTAGTTCGATTATTGCTCTAGCGTTTCGTATCTTTGCCGAAAGGTAGCGGCCACTAACTTACCATCCAATCTAGCTAGAGAAGTTTAATATTATACATTTTCTTTTCCATCAACGTATTCAATTTATAAATCATCTGATTCTGACATTTTTCTAAAGCTGTTTCCAATCTTGCAAGCAATTAAATTGTTATATGAGATGTATTCACCCTAGTTCGCTTAAGGTGATCAACGAACTAGGGTGAGTACATCTCATATAAGTGATTTACTGGTAGTCTCGAAACTCTACTTATAGACGAAAAATAATAAAATGTTTTTTCAACTGTCTGTTTTTAGAGAACAGGCCCGATATTTGTATTATGAAAATAATGAAATTTTCTTCAGTTTGGGCAGCTCGCCTGGGTAGCTCTTGCCGACGAATATTCTAGTCAATTTATCCAATTCTTCATCACAGAATTCTAGATTTGTTAATCGTAGGCTTCTAATGAGCATGCTCCTCATTATTCA